CGGGGGAGGAGGGATAGCTACGTCACTGGCTCACATTTAACCCTTGTCTTTATACATGAAGATCAGAAAAACAAATTATAAGACACGTGCTTTAAGTAAAAATTACCCTCTTAGCATATTTAGGTTATTTGAATTTCTTGTCGCATGATGGCAGACGGATACAGTTTCTTCTGCTCTCATCTCTCTCAACGCTTGTTTTCAGTCAATAATTAAACCCCCGAAAACAAAATGGGATTTAGATAAATGGCGGCGTCTGATGGCTTTATAATGGTAGGTCTGCCAGAGCGTAACGCCGTTCCTCCGATGTCGGCCTACAAGCAAATACATGCGACTTCTTACGGGCGGAAATGGCGCGCCTCATAAATCAAGCCGGCGTATGTCGTGGCGTAAGTGGTCATTGCCTGAAATGGAAGAAAGAAGCCATCAACTAGCTTTACATTATCATTAATGTCGAAATTTTATACGACTAAACATTTTTACCGGTGATGGAAGAGTGAAGTTGTAACTAACTATTTGAAGCATTATTGGTCGAAGCTCTTCAGGAGTGAATTTCCCATGACAATTATGTTCATTGTCATAATAAACTGAACGATTGCAAAATGTAAAATTGATTGTGTCTGAATTATCTCTAGTTGAGTTCAAGAAGACATATTGCTTGGCAGGGTTTATCCATACAATATGAGTTTGGGTTGTTCCTTTTCCTTTTAAGAGCCGAGAAGAACTTCGCCAGTAAAAAATAATATGAGGGCCCCAGAAGGGTTACGCAAAATTTATTAAAGAAAACAAAATAAAATGGTAATATAAACAAAATATAGCGCCCCTCTTCCTTACACAAAAAAATCTACCATTCTGGACACTTTTTGAACATGATGGTACACATAAACCTTGCCCCGAGTTCACAAAGCATTCGCAGACTTAAGTTAAGAATTTAGTCAACTTTAAAACACTGTTTATGAGAAATATCTTTGACCAGAAACACAAAACTTTGCACATAGTTTCTTATTGATGTATTTGACACATTAAAACAACAAAAGCTTTATAAAGGGCAATATTTTAGTTAAAGGAGCTAAATCGCTAACATAAGGGACCTAGAAATTGACAAAAGTGGGTCTCAACGCATATAATACTGTAATATGAATGTATATAAACTGATTTACATTCAATGGTTTCCGTTTTTACTCCAATTTCAAATCAGTTATTTCGGCGAAATAAGCCAGCAGTCTCAAGCGAGTGCAAATTTCTAGCGTCTGGTTATTCCAGTCTACATACGTCGTTTGATTTGGTGCAATGTGTCTAGCCTCGTCCCTCGGGTCTCTTGATACAACTGGGGCTGAAGCGCATTATGGTACACGATTCGTGTACCAATGGTAAAATGTTTATTTTGTCTTAAATATTGGATATCAAAAGCCCACCCTTTTCCGATAAGATCACAACATGAATGTTGATTTAATTTGACAAATAAATCGTGTTTTCAATGTTGAAGATTTTGGATGATAATGAGTTAGAGACTTAGCTACTTTAAAATAAGGCGATCAATTTTGAGTAAATTCTTAACTTATGCCTGAGAATGCATTGTGAACTAGGGGCCTTGTCGTATAACATATTTGCTGTAATCATATCTTATTCTCCGCTCTTCCGTTTCAATTATATGTAATATATACCGAGGCAATGAAAACGAACCACTCGGCCAATAAAGACGGGCATACGCCATACAGCGATATGCCAAGTTTGACCTGACCCATGGATGCGCCAGATTCGGGAGAGCAGGAGTGCCAGAGATACTGGAGTGGGGGATGTATTTTAACGAAGAGTGGAGAAGGATCCCATGCAATTACCCCAAGCAGCTATTCATAGGCTTATATCCCCCTTGCGACAGAATGGGACGGTTGACAACTCATCGACAAGATCGTACGCTACCAGCTTCCCGGAAAGATGCTACTGTGATCGGTCCGAATGGGTTCAGCGGTGCTGACACATTCTGTTTCACCGCGTTAATGCAAAAGCTTAACATTTACTGAGGATCAATTTGATGCTGACACTGTTTGTCAAGTTCGTAAAGTTGTTATGGTCCCTAGCTGTGGGTTGTTGATTTTATTTTGTATCGATAAATTTCCAGTTTACAACCATGCCAAATTTAGTTTAAACAATATTTTATTTATTTGAAAAGGATTGAACAACAGGCCAAATTTCAGCTGCAGTATGTCTCACTAGCACTCCCAGCGGTGCGTTTCCATATTCTATTTTTTTAATGGTTTGCACATATACAAGAATTTAGAAATGGCTATTCAATGAAGGGGCTGGGTACTAAAAGGTAAATATGTGGAAAAACATAAAATTGATGGGGTAGCAACCTTCGAAATATGTACACAAAAACATTTTTTTTACAGTCAGGAAGTACCACAGTGTAAATTGTGTATATATAAAAAAATCTCCCCAGAGACTGATGTTATTAACGGACAGTCTAATTAAATGAATGGGATCAACCAAAGATTGTATATCCCAATAAGAAACACAGAAATGAGTTTTTACATATCTTTATTCTATTTGTCTGTATTAAAACAGATATATTTAATTTGATAGTGTTGTCAATGAGATGTGATTGATTTATTATATTAATATTATATGTACAAATATATTCACTGTCATATATGTAACTTATATACCAGGATAGTTTACACTTTACATAATATGAAAAAATAATTTTAAATTAAAAACAAAGAAAATAAACAACACTTACCAACATGTACATCAAACATAAAATACAAACAAATAACAATATACACCACTTCATATATACATATGAATAAATATAGGTAGACCGTTTTATGTATATGAATGTATATATTAAACTTAGACAATTTATTTCAATGATAAGTACAATTTGAAGGAAAAGTACAATTTGAAGGATAAGTACAATCTAAATGATAAGTACAAAACTACAATCTGAACGATAAGTACAATCTGCTTCTAAGTACAAGTTAAAAAGTAATCGAATTTATAAAACGACCAGTTTTCAACATTTGGTGCTGAACAACAACAGTTGTTATAGTAACAGATAACAACAACAGTTGTTATAGTAACAGAATAAAGCTGTTGATTTGTTTGTTAGGACAAATTAGGATAATATTGTTATGGTAACAGGTTAAAGACATTTTACTAGCTCAGCAATGCCAGGACACCCAAAGTGTTGATATGGTAACATAATTGACCTTCATATTGTCACAAATAATTGCCATGGTAACAGATCAGTCTATTATGACATTGCTATGGTAATAGATAAGAGTATTGTGACATTGCTATGGTAACAGATTAGAGTATTATGGGATTGTTATGATAACAGATAAGAGTATTATGACATTGCTATGGTAACAGATAAGAGTATTATATTACTATGGTAACAGATTAAAACAGTGTTGTCATGGTAACCAACTAGGTAGTGTGCTGTTGTTTTGAGTATCATATTCTTTTCACAGAATCACCTGAATCTTTTACAGTTTGGAGCAATACATAACTTTAGAATACTGTTGTATTTGACTAGAAGTGTATGATAAGAAAACACCCTGATTGGAATGATAGATGTGTTTTAACAGTATATATAACACCTGATAATATAAAAATAAATATAGCACTGATTACACTAGCACTTTATTGCTTGTCTGTGTAGTTCATGTCTATCACTAATAATTTAAGGAATGTTAAAATTAATAAAAAAAAAAAAAGAACACACATTGAATAATGAATTTTTTTTTTTCATTTTAAATAAGTTTAAGAAATAGTTGATTTCAATGGTTACTATGCCTACAAAAAATAATGTTTACATCAAATTGACTTTTTCATGCATATTTAAACATATGTATTAACAAATATATCATACCCACATGGAAATAAAAAAAATCCTGCAAATACAATAATATACAGCTTGATCTTAATCAATTACAAACATCATTAAGTAATTTAAACAGAGACTTCGACACTCGGTATAATTAAGAAATATTTATTTAAGTTCACTTGTAGGTTTATTCTGGGAGTATTCTTCCCTGCTTTTCACTTATTGATAGTTTATCAAGTATATTAGATACAATATTTAATTTAAACTATATTTAATTAATACCCAATTTAATACAGGACAAAATATGACTACATTTATTGCTTTGTTTTCTTAAGTACATGTAATACTGAAGTGACAAATAAATAATAAAATAAAATTGTTTTTTGGGGATTTATTTTGTTTTAAGAAACTATTTATAATAACAACAACTGTATTGGCTATTTTGAATATAATACTTTTGTCTTGCTTAAAATTCCCCTATAACTCTTTACGACTACCATTTATGAAATTATATTTTTGCATTAATGGGTAAGCTAAAATTGCATGCAAGACTATAATCCCAATATGAAATTAAATTTCCAAAATTAATTAATATATCTATACACTTTTGAAAATCTAATATTTATGATAAATGTTATATCAGGTTACTGGAAATAAAGAAATGAAATGGGGTTTAATGTCCTACTGTTCTGCTCTGACTGGGCTAATGAAGACTGGCATACGCCATGCAGTGTGCTATGAGAGAAATTTTGCCCAGGAAGCGGCACTATGGCCTACTCTTATATCGAATTCCAACTCCAAGGGATCTTTTACATGCACGCCAATGTATACACAGGACCTCGGTTTTTCATCCCATGCAATCGACCACTGTCCTGCACCACTGACACGGAGAAACCACGCCGAAAAATCCTGATGAACTTTTTTGGCCAATGAAGGTATCGAACACGTGACCTTCAGGCTAGCTAGCCAGAAATAAAGCATGCGGAAAGTTTTTCTTCACAACCCATTTTATAATGACAACCTAATATTATGTACCAATAATGTAATCATAAGAGGTTAATATGTCTTAATCCAAAGAGTTTATATTAAAAATTTATATAGACAAAAATTATATAATGTTTGTAAAAATCTATTTTAAATAATTTCAAAATAATAATAATAAATTAAAACATCAGTGAGCAGTGCTTAGTAATGTATGAGTGACCTCAGAAAAGGTCAATAGAGGATTTTCAGTGGGATCCGTTTCCTTGACACTTGCAAGCTGAAAAAGAGACAGTAAAGGTATCAATTCCATTACAGTACTCTACTGAGATGACATTTCATTTGAAATGATGGAAACGCTAGTATTATGTTACAAGTTAACTTGTTCACTCCTTACTACAATAAATCTATGATTCATACAAATCACATAAGGGAATAAAAACAAATTTATCATATTTATATTATTTTCAACAAAAACAATTAACTTGTTTATTCCATTCTCTTCCATTTTAATCCAGACTGTATTTTAAGTTTTTTTTGTTTTTTTTAAATTAAATGTATAGACTGGCTACTCATCAGACTTGGACATACAGATAGATCATCTTGACACACTGTCATATATAATTTATAATATTATCAACACTGAATGGTTCTAAAATGACTAGACTTCAAAAATATGTTTTCTTAAAAAATTTTGTAAAAGTATTTATTTCAAAAGTAGAAATCAGCTCAGAAATAAAAGTGTAAAGAACATATGGATACTGAAAACCTAGCAAATCATTTTTTTTTAAGTCTTAAATATTTATTCCTTTAAATAATTTTATTTTTATAAATTCAAAAACTAGAGGGTAATAGTTATTTCCGATTTCTGAAAAACTCTTTTGGAATATCGGCTATTTGTTTTGTTTAAATAGTAAATACAAACTAGCCATTTGTGATGTATCTCATGTTGATTATATGTGACCCACTCCCACAAAACCAGGCGCTTGTCACCCAACTTCATTTTGTACTATGGGCACAAAAGCATAAACCATATATGCCTTCTTGTTGCTGTGAATAAGTCGAACTCAACTCCAGATGATATGACAAATTTTGAAAGAATTGCATTTTTGGAAAGCTTATAGGCAGTGCACTATTCAAAAATGCTGCCAGCTCTATTTTCATAAAAATGACCAAGAGCTTGGTTTTGTGGGAGCAGCTCACATATTATGCGTACACCAGGGCTTCCTCTTCAAAATTTTCACTGCCGGTCATTTTTGATAACGCATGAAAACTTTTCAAAGTAAATTCATATTTATAAATAAGTCTTTATCCAATGAAGTTTAATATAAAACTGACTGCTTTGTACATAGATACAATGTTACAATGTTCAACCAAACTAAGTTCACACAATTCAGCAGAATTCAGTAAGGTATATGATTCATGTGTCCATACAATTCAGTAGACTGATTACTATTTAAGGTATATCAATATTTCATGGGTTTTTTTTCATGGTAGAGTACACTATACCCCGGTATGTTCAGACAGTACACTATACCCCGGTATGTTCAGACAGTACACTATACCCCGGTATGTTCAGACAGTACACTATACCCCAGTATGTTCAGACAGTACACTATACCCCGGTATGTTCAGACAGTACACTATACCCCAGTATGTTCAGACAGTACACTATACCCCAGTATGTTCAGACAGTACACTATACCCCAGTATGTTCAGACAGTACACTATACCCCGGTATGTTCAGACAGATATATATGCAAGCGGGGTCTGATTTTATACAGCTGGTTGACAGCTGAAAACAATACTTTCATTTCACTGATTACAATCTTAATAAACATCTTCAGTATTTCATTATTCTAAATCGCCATTAGCATCTTATTTTTAATAAAAATATGTTTGGTGGAATTTATATCTTAAATGCTTCTTCAAATATGGAGTGAGCTATGATCAATTGTCAGGGTGTGATATCTTACCTTTTCAGGTTGAAAAGTTTCAGGTAGAATAACTCGTTGTGATTTGCCGCAATAACCATAGAGATCCCCAGTCCAATCACGGTTATCTTGATAGTTACTATGGGTGTTGTTACAGTGATGTAACCATGGTGATTTAACCACAGGAACTGGTATGCTTGCTGTTTGCTTATCACATGAACGTCTGCACAAAAAGAAAAAAATATATATATATACCGGTTTATCAGTAGACAAAAATGTTGAACATTTTTTTTTTGAAATTTCAAGCCTTTTAATGAAAATACATCATATTTGTTACCTCTCCATTCGGAAGGGGAGCGATAGAAATGTTGCTTTCAGCATGCACCAAATATTATTTTACTGCATGTGGATGATTATTTGCATCAATAATATAAAACATGTTTTCTTTTTCACTTCAAAAGTACAACAGAAATTGTTAGCTGTGTGAAATAAGTGGTACCAAGTGTTCTTACCTGGCTTGTATTACTGAAGTCTGTGATGTATTGCATTTTGGACTGATTCTGTGGATAACACTGTGTTCCATGACTTTACCAACAGATAAATCAGGAGAAACCATATTTGGTTGCCCTGGAGACAGTTCCCTCTCGGTATTAACAGAATTATACTGGCTGCGTTTATCACACGTCGAACTATTCCACGATAAACAGTTATTATTATTATTATTATTATTGGGTGCCTTTGATTGGCTGATGACACCAGCAACAGAAGTAAGATGATGATTGGGTGATGAACCAAGATCTGTCATTGCTAACTGAGATGATGTGTAGATATTCGTGGATTTGATCACCGAATTATGTCCTAAACTAATGGCCTGCGGTAGGTCATGATGTATCACATTTTCCGATGATTTGTCCTTGGCAATCATACTTGGAGTGTGGGCAGGTTTGTAAAAATGGGAGGGGGGAACACAAGATGGCGCCACACTTCCTTCGATAGGATTCATGTAAGGATTAGGATTATACACAGAAGAGGATCGGAGATCAACAGGTTCTAATGAGCCATTTAGACGTGGAAAACGTTCGTGTAAATCGTACCCATATTTTCTGATATCAGAGTCCATATGAGAAATGTCATCTCCACAGTGAACTTTTTTTGATAAATCTATGCTGTAAGGATCAAAACCGTACTTTGGCACATCGTAACCATATTTATTAGCTGGAGTCATAATGTCCGTAAAAGTATTGCTTGAGTAAGGAAGGGTAGGCTGATATTGCCGATGATCGTAAAAATAGCCGTTTGTTAGTCCATGTTTATCCCCATCAAAACGATACGAGTCTGTTGTTGGATACAAGGGCGCAGGTAAAGAACTGTATCCATGGGAACGATAAATATCGGTTTCATATCCATAATTATTGCTTCCATACGGATAAATTATGTCTGCTTTATAATCATTTGTATCATAAGAATTAAATGGCGGATACGGTGAATACCCCGGGAGACCATTTAACAAACAAGCACCTTTACGTTTCTTATTCACCATAGCCGTTTCCCTCGTCTGAGCCTTTTTCTTTGATTTGCTGGATTTAGATTTTGGAGAAAACTCGTCTTCTGGAAAACCAAACCCACCACATAAGTCCATATCTAATAGTGGATAAGGTAATTTAAATTCATTACCACGTTTCCCAAATAAATCCTGACCTTCGTCATCTCTGTAAAAAAGAATTTGAAACATTAGATTTACTATATCATCATTCAAAAATTTTGCTTTCAAGAGCAAAGTACAGATCTAAGAATTATTATGGACAAAGGTGTAAGGGAGCCTTTAGGAAGTCAATCATATCTTAAAATCATGGTTTTAAGAATGCATGGTATTATACTGATTTGGGGATACCCTATTTTGAGCAATGTTCTCTGAAAACATGTTGACACACTTTAGAATTACCCAATAGTGAAAATGCCTTTATATTATTATATGGACATGGGTTAGAATTTGCTTGCATTGGTCTGAAAACAATGTTAAATAAACCATTCATTAGAATGACAGTCCAAATTTGTAACCAAGCACTGAATTTTAGCTACATTCAATTTTTAGAGACAGTAATAAAGAGATGCGTTTAATTTCCATTCGACACAAACTAGGTCATTTCAGGACTAACATATTGTTCAATTTTATTTCAACAATTTAGCAGTGGGAGGAAACCAGATGACCCCGAGAAAACCCATGAGGTTGGACAGGCGACAGACCTTATGATGCAACACGCACACACTAACCATTCAGCCATACAACATGCCGAGACAGAAGGATTTTGTACACTTGTGCTGGACTGTATACTCAGATACAAATGATGAGAAACTTACGTTAATTGTCGATGTGTAGCTATTATAAAATCTGGTTTACTGTTTTTATAGACTACTTTACAACTAGACTGTAACCAACACCAGCGAAAATCTTTTGTCATCCAGCGATACGCTATCAACCCTGAACTTCCAGTCTTTATTACTAAAACAATACAAAACATTTATTTCAACTGAGAATAACAGATTCTGGGGAAGAGTTCTCTGGTTAAGTATGGTTCTGGATGAATGACCCAATTTGAGATCAGAGGGATCCAAGATTCCAAGTTGCAGATGAATCATCTCAAGTATTGGTATATGGCATCAAATGACAAGTAGGAGGCTTGGGATGATAAGTTTAGCGTGGATGAACTGGGATATCAATGGGGTGATCTTGGATGGGGCATTTCAGATGACAAAGTGTGGATGGATGATTTCTAATGACAAGTATGGACATATGACATCAAATGGCAAGTGGGAGATTTGGGATGATAAGTTTAGCGTGGATGAACTGGGATATCAATGGGGTGATCTTGGATGGGGCATTTCAGATGACAAAGTGTGGATGGATGATTTCTAATGACAAGTATGGACATATGACATCAAATGGCAAGTGGGAGATTTGGGATGATAAGTTTAGTGTGGATGAACTGGGATATCAATGGGGTGATCTTGGATGACATGCTGTGGATGGACATTTTAAGATTACAAGATGAGGATGGGTAATTAGGGATTAATGGACTGGGTGATCCAAGATTTTAAGATGGGGAGGGATGATCTGGGATGAAAATATGACTGTGTGTGATCTGACAGATTGAGGCACATGATATAAACGATGAGAAGTTGGAAACAATAGGTGTTAAGTTGAGGATGAATGACCGGTGTTGTCTTTGGATAATCTGGGAAGCTAATCATGGGGAAAACCTGATATGTAGGATAGACTGAGAATGATGATCTAATATGATGTAATCTCTAGGATAGTTGGTTAAGGATACATTATGGAAGACTACATAAAGAGCTGGCAGTTCTTGATATAATAGTTAAAAACTAGATGATGTAAAGGGAATGTGCTGAAATTTCAGTCAATTGCTTCCCTCTAACCCGAGAAAACCTCATTTAAAAATCTTTGTAGCCTCGATTGTCATTGTTAGTGCTGTCGCAATAATTAACAAAGTCTCCATTATTCATTTTTGCATTTAATCATAAACAGACTTTGAACAACAGATCAGATTCAAATCCAATGAAAATCAGACAGATAAGATGGCATCGAGAGTTGATTATGGTCTTTTCATGTTAATAAATGTTTAATTAAAAGTTTATATAACATTTCAGGGGTAAAGAAAGACCTGCAATAGGCAGATTTACCTCTTGCATAATGCATGTTTAAGAATGTACGAATTTTGTCAAGCAAAAAATATATGTATTAAACTTACATTCTTGATGAGCTGAAGAGAAATAAGTCAGATCATCTGGATGAACCAAATCATAGCCAGATTTAGGTGAAAGTTCATGATCAGCATAACCAAACATCACTTTACCTCTGAAATTATAAACCCAATTGTATGAGATACATTAAGACACCCTATTATTATATTATCAGTAAATTTAAATTTGAGGTGAAGACAGCTATTTTTACTGCAGGTATTTTTATTTTAAAGGTATAATATACAAATAGTAACATAATTAAGTAAAAAAGTTAATCGAACGTCTTTATAATGGACATGTTATTTCCTTTCTTTCACAAATTATAAACGATTAATAAGCAGTTGAAACATAATCTGGTGTTGTGTAGGTTGGGGAGTCTCAGTGATGGGATTTCTAGATCCTTCTATTAATGAGAGAGAGACAGAGAGAGAGAGAAAGAGAGAGAGAGAAAGAGAGAGAGAGAGAGAGAGAGAAATGGGGTTTAACATCCACTTGACACAAACTATGTCATTTCGGGACTAACATATGGGCATGGGGGTCTTTAGCAGTGAGAGGAAACCGGAGGACCTGGAGATAACCCATGAGGATGTACAGGCGACCCTACTCCTTGTCACATAAAACCGTAAAACCGGGGAATCGTACAACCATTCAGTCATCCAACCCCCCACTTCTATTAATGAGAACACCTCTATATTATTATAATCGAAATGGTGTTAAAATGGGGCAAGTTTTTAACTCAATATCATCCACAGTCTTCGACATTGCAAACATGACTTATTTGTCAATTTAAATCAACATTGATGTTGTTATATTACCATACTTTGAGAAACCGGGGCCTGATTTTTGGTAACAAATGTTTTCAGTCTTTGACACACACATACCAAACAATGTTTTTTTAAAGGAAATGAAATGGGTTTCAACGACCTACTGTTTTGTTTCGACTAGGCTAATGAAGACGGACATATGCGAAATAGTGTGTTTTCAGGGAGATTTTGCCCGGACAGCAGCAATATGGCCTACTCTTATTTCAAATTCCAAATCAGGAAAATCCTGATGAACATTGTTGGCTAATACTGGCATCGAACACGGGACCTCAATGGTTAGCGAGACAACATATTACTCACTGAGCGACCGCAGCTCCTTTTTTGAAAGACAAAATATATTATCTAGTTACCTGCTATCCATAGTAATAGGAGAAAAATCCATCTTATGTTTGCTTTTAAAAGTTAATTCTCTTGAAGGTATGTCAAATAAAGACAGAGGACCAAATGGACAACAAATAGCAAATAATGCCAGTTGAGGTTCTTCTGTTCTGTTACCATTACATTGTCCATGTAGAACACGTAACCACCCACTAATTTCTAATGTCTGAAAAAAAGAACCAAAATATACAATTATGACTTATACGTATAATATCAAAAACACATATTTAAAGTAGCTAAGTCTCTAACTCAATATCATCCAAAATCTTCGACATTGAAAACACAATTTATTTGTCGATTTAAATCAACATTGATGTTGTGATCTTAACGTGGAAAAGATGGCCTTCTGATATCCAATATCTAAAGACAAAATAAACATTTTACAATTGGTACACAAATTGTGTACCATAATGCGTTTCAGCGTTATTTGTAATAAGGGACTCGAAAAACGAGGCTAGGCATATTCCACAAGTTATTCAAACTGTAACGTTATATTCTTATCTGGAGATTGAGAATACTGGTGTATTTCACCGAACCTAACTGATTAGAAATTACAGTAAAAACAGAAAAGATTGAATGTAAATCAATTTATATACATTCATATTACATTATTGTATGCGTTGCGACCCATTTGTGTCAATTTCTAGGTCCCAAATATTAGCGACTTTGCTCCTTTAAACAAATTATTGGTCGAAATATTATCAAAATCAGCCAATCCTAATGAGAGTTATATATGTTCACCTAAAGTTTCCATTACTTTCTATTGATTTCATGACATCATCATGTCTGCCACCTATTGAACATCGAGGTCAAGATGGCGTCTAACCGAGGGGTTTTTTTTGTCTAGATTACTATATAAAGAACACCTTTCAGCCATTATTTTTGTTACATCTAAATAGTTGTCTGCCACAATAAGGCTTTAGAGAACATATACATTATACAAATGGGTCTATGTGTAGAGCTGGAATCACACCACTAAATTTTTTGTAGAGTAAATGGTTGAACATTATCAGATAAGGATAAAAATGAACAACCCCAAATATGGTCTGGATCAAATACTTCAGATTAAAGCCACAAACAAGACATTAATACAATATATGCCAGTTTTGGGCAGTTTTCTATTTTTTGTTAAAACAATATATTTTTGTACTATATTTAGAACAGTAATTTGTTAAAGGTAAGATTTAGAGAAATAGTTGGTGATCTTGCTATAATATTTCAAAAATAAATAATGAAAAATGAATATATTGAAAATTTCATTCAAATTACTTTATTCTGAGCGAAGTTATGATTGTTTGAAGATGTAGTGTAGATTGTTTATTATCGTAGCAACGGTAATGAACAACCAAGACTTAGTCCTGATTATCCATTTTCTCTTTAAATTTTTAAATCTCAGGGCTGTTCTAATCCATGTAAATCACATGCATCCGATGATCTAGAAAGTTGATTATAGGCTTGTCATGTGAATAAATGTCAAAATAATAATTCATATAACATTTGAAGTCAAAATAAAGACCTGCAATAGGCAGATTCTTACATAATGCACCTTTAATCATTTTCTAAAATCTTATCAAAAATAGAAACAAATGTGTTAAGCAATTTCCGGTTAGAAAATTTTAATGAAAGTTAATCACTTAATAAAACTAGCATATTTTCCAACAGAGTTATAAAACCTATTCAATTGTTACATGAACTTAAATAACAGTGCAGTAGTGTCAGATGTTCTAGAAAGATTAAGTCACAATGTTCTAGATAGATTAAGTCCTGATGTTCTAGAAAGATTAAGTCACGATGTTCTAGATAGATTAAGTCACGATGTTCTAGAAAGATTAAGTCACGAAGTTCTAGAAAGAGTAAGTCACGATGCACTTCAGAAGCTACTTTTAGAAGGTCAATCACACACAATGCCATTCATGCAAAAAATAGATAGAATGTTAAAACTTGGAATATTTTTTTTCATTAATTTAAATTCTTTTATCCAGCTTATTTCTGAACAAGCCTGTCCCACCTATAAGTTTTGAGTAAAATCTTTTGATGGTCTTGTCTACGATATCACCCTTGGTGGAAGTGGACGTAACACTCCAAAAAACGAACGAACTATTTTGATTGCTTTTTTTTAAAAATAATTAAATCCAACCTGGGAGATTGTGTACTGTCGATATTTTGGCTTTGTTTTCTTAATCATTTATTGTTAAATAATCAATTTAAGCATGGATTAAAGAATGAGGAATTGTTGACAAAATGCTTGATCTGGATATAGACTTTAAACTCATACTTGTATTTGTAGCATTCAATGACACCATATATTTTCCAAATGGGTTTATGTCAATCCAGACATATTACTCCTAAATGACTCAATCTACTGAACAGGTTAAACTATCTGTTTTAACTAATCAGCTACAAGATTTTAATCAAAGAAAATCATTTCGGGACTAACATATGGTCATTTCAATATTCCACTTGCACACAGGGCTCTTTACTTAAGGGAGAAAACCAGAGGACCCGGAGAAAAACCATGATGACCCTACTCCTTGTAACATACAAGTTGAGAATCGAAACCATGGCACTTGAGTCAATAACAGAACTTACGATTTTAACGTGCGCACATTAAACCATTCGACCACCCAAACCCCCGATTTAAGAAGAAAAGAAACACAAAGTATGAATAGACCAAAAGCAAAACATGTTTGATTTATGATATCTAAAACCATTCGGCCACCCAAACCCCCGATTTAAGAAGAAAAGAGACACAACTTATGAATAAACCAAAAACAAATGATGTTTGATTTATGATATCTAAAACCATTCGGCCACCCAAACCCCTGATTTAAGAAGAAAAGAGAAACAAAGTATGAATAAACCAAAAACAAAACATTATGATGTCTAAAACTGGTAGATTTAAATGGTTTAATACTTACAATAAAACCTGAAGTATTGTCCAGAAGACATCGAAACCTGACTGTAAAGGAGCGATGGAGGTACATGTGGTTTTCTGTAAAAAATTCAAATAAGAAAATATAATACAACTGTATAACATAGAATTACAGCATAACCCTATATATAACACAAATGTTAAAGAGAGAAATGGGGTTTAACGTCCACTTGACACAAACCATGTCATTTCGGGACTAACATATGGTTCAATTTTATTTCAATAATTCACATGTGCTTAGGGGTCTTTAGCAGTGGAAGGAAACCGGAGGACTCGGAGAAAACCCACGAGGTTGGACAGGCGACCCTACTCTTTGTCACGTACAACCGGGGAATCGAAGTTATGTAAGTTGACTCAATAACAGATCTTATGATACAGCACGCACGCGCTAACCAATTGGCCATCCAACCCCTCCCCCCAAATGTTAAAACATGCTTATTCTTAATATGTTATACAAGAATTTCATTTTAAAAAATGCATATATTTGGTTAGTGCCAGTTAGCACTTTATAAATTGTGGGAGTCTGGCATTTTGACTCTTGTACATGTCGCTTTATGCAAATGTGACATTATTTAACAATTCCTATTATTTAAAATATAATAAACCACAAGAGACTTCCTAAATACATCTAGCCAAGGATTAAAAACCAAAAAGTGTTGGTTGACTTATCTATACAATTAAAGTTTCCATTTTAGATGATGTCAATTTCATAATACTAGCCTATATTGTTTGTATGAATGTATTATTTGTGTGTTCACGTATGTAGTATGTATAATTAAATGTATATGATTATGTCTAAGTGTATATGTATGCATGCTGTCATTAAAAATACATTATGAAAGAGCTAAATCTGCCTATTGCAGGTATTTCTTCAGGCCTGAAATGTTATCTAAATTATTAATTCGACATCAATTAACTTATCCAGACCTTAATCAACTTTTTATCATACAGACTTTAGTAATGATGATCAAGGCTAGGCCGAAAGTTCAATGTCATCGCTGTGTTTTTTATTGTACCAACTTTAGTAATGATTATCGGGGCTAGGTCAAAAATTCAATCGCTAAATTCTTGGTTCAGAGTGGATCAATTTGACTGAAAGTTTCAGCAAATTCCCTTTACATTATCTAGTTTTTAACTATTATTGTGAGAACTGTCAGCTCTTTATCTAATCTCCCATAATGTATCTTTAATGGATGTTTTGATGCAATAAACGGAAAGACTGTTTGACTATATGTAGGGTACGATGTATGGAGATGTTGACACGCTGTATATTCAAATCATTAATTAATTTCTGTTTTAAAACCATTTTTGTATGTTCTTATTTCAAATTTTTATAGTCATTTTGCGATTTTTATCTTCAGTGGTACATTCATATTCAATCTGTTTAACAAAAGCCCGTCATTTCAGTGGTTCATTCATATTAAATCCGTTTAACAAACAAAAACCCCTCATTTCAAGATTTCATTCTTTGTGAACATTGAGTTGGTATTGTCTATATATAAAAATAATAAAATTGCCTTTTCCAGGATTTTTAAGCCTCACATTTATCAACAATGTGACAAGGATTTTCTTCCCCAATGTAGGAATCACAAACCTGGTAGGAGAATTTCATGTAAAGACATATTGGATTTTTCTGGTGGTAGACATGAGCTCCATCCTAATTGACGTTTAAATTCTTCTCTATCTTCAGAGTGTATTAACTCCATGACACTTTGATGGATGATATCGGACTGAAATATAAAGACTTTGAAATAACATTTCCAACATCTCTCTTATATATATCAGTATTTTTGATGCACAGAATTGGAAAGAAAAACATGAAAAATACTTAACCTAGCAAACCATATGTGGGGAAGGGGAAGGGCAAGGGCATTACAGAATTTCAAGATGAATTTGCTTTTTAATTTTTAATGTAGTAGCCATTGAGAGATCTGCAATTTGATTAAAATACAGATCCCATTTCGTTTCGTTTTCTGTAGTTCAAAATTTCGTTTTATTTGTCTGTACTACACTAGGATCTGGAGGAGTTGTTATATAACATGCGTTCTGGATGGTGTGAGGGATTAGCCAATGAAATAATCTATTACGGCAAATTCTTGGCGTGCGACTCACGGAACTGTGGGTAAATCACTGGAAACGTCAACGCTGATGGATTAATCAATGTCTGACGTCTAAGGGTCAAAAGCTGCTTATACGACCCCTGATACGACCTTCCCTGTACAACCGGTCAGATCTTCATGTAGTGTAACGTAGGCCATCGAAAATATAAAAAACGAAACGAAATATAGATCTGTATTTGAATCAGATTGAGTGATCTGCCAGTAATATATATAGATATATATGTATCGTTATTATTATATATATATCTATGTAACCGTATATTATCATATGTATTTTTATTATTATATATTCTTTGATTTAGGCCCTGCAGAATAATATTTGTGATTAAGGTTACTTCACAAAAAAAAATAGAGTCGGATGGTGTGCAGAAATCCAGGACAAGACCGATTTATAGAACCTCGGAAATTAGAAAAAATATCTAGGGTTGGCGATTTGCCTCAACAAAGTAGGGTTGGTGGGATAACCATAAACACTGGTATTCTTTTAGGGGGCCTAATATTAGAAATCTGTTTTTATAGAGAGAGAGAGGGACAGAAATGGGGTTTAACGTCCACGTCCACTCGACACAAACTAGGTCATTTCGGGACTAACATATGGTTTAATTTTATTTACATAATTCGCTTGTGCGTAGGGGTATCTGTTTTTATATCTATTAGGGGGTCACGGTGGCTAAGTAGGTAATAATCTGGCTCGCTAGCCTGAACGTCTGGTGTTCGATCCCTGCATTGGCCGAGAAAATTCATCCAGATTTTCCGGCGTGGTTTCCCCTTGTCAGTGATGCAGGATGGAGGGCCTGACAAGGACAGCTATCTAGTCATTTGGATGGGACGAAAAACTGAGGTCCCATGTACACATTGACATGCACGTAAAAGATCCCTTGATAGTTGGAATTCGATATAATACTAGGTCGTAGTGTCGCTGTCTGGGCAAAATTTCCCTCCTAGCACACTATAAGGCGTATGCTCGTCTTCATTAGCCCAGTTCGGAGCAGAACAGTGGGACGTTAAACCTCATTTCATTTTATTTCATTTTATATCTATTATATTCTCCAAATACAGAGTGATATATGTGTAAGAACTATGTGTAAACGAGTTTTGAAATGGTGTTAATCACATTTTGTTAAAGATTACCTTGAGTCCCATTTGTTACTTAATATAGTCAATGAACTATTCAGACGACTGTATTCAGAATCACAGAGTAACATCTAACCTTTGTGTCATCAAAGCAGTGCATTTCTTTTTATAGTGTTAATTTAGTGAAAACTTGTTGAATATGTTATATACAATGTTAACTGTCCATTATAACATTGATAAAAATCTTTTTCATGTTTTGTGTTCATTGTTAGGACTGATCCAGTGATGAAAGATGAAAACATTTATGATATTTAACAATATGATGAGAAAACTAGACAACAGTATAATACTGCATTGATTACCTTTGACTTTTTAATACTCGAAGTTAATTGAAAGGTTTATTTTTCCACTATAAATTTAAATAGTATATTTAAAGAATTATTTTGTTACTAATAGTATATAAAAATTTAAGGATTTATTTTGCCATTAATGCCAATAGTGTATCTAAAGTTTTATTTTGCCACTAATGGAGAGAGTAGAGAGAAGGAGAGAGAGAGAAATGGGGTTTAACATCCACTCGACACAAACTAGGTCATATCGGGACAAACATGGTTCAATTATATTTCAATAATTCACTTGCACATAGGGGTCTTGAGCAGTGGGAGGAAACTGGAGAAACCGGAGGCAACCCACGAGGTTGGACAGGCGACCTTACTCCTTGTCACTACAACCAGGGAATCAAAACCACGCCAGTGGACTCAATGACAGACCTTATAATACAGCGCTTACACGCTAACCATTAGGCCAACCAACCACTAATGTAAATAGTATATATAAAGATTTATTTTGCCACTAATGTAAACAGTATAACTAAAGATTTAGTTTGCCACTAATATCAATAGTATAACTAATTATAAAGATTTATTTTTATCACTAATTTAAATAGTATAAGCTTATCTATAAGCTAACCATTAGGCCAACCAACCACTAATATAAATAGTATATATAAAGATTTATTTTGCCACTAATGTAAAGAGTATAACTAAAGATTTAGTTTGCCACTAATATCAATAGTATAACTAATTATAAAGATTTATTTATATCACTAATTTAAATAGTATAAGCTTATCTAAAAAAAAATTTTACCACTAAATATAAACAATATATCTAAATATTTATTTTGCCACTAATGTAATATTTTCTATAAATATATAAGATTATTAAAGATTCTGGTATCTGCTACATTTAAACTTTTATTTCATTAAATTTAATATTAAAGGCCCACTTGATTTGAAATGAAATGAAATGGGGTTTAACGTCCTACTGTTTTACTCCGAACTTGGCTAATGAAGACGGGCATACGCCATACAGTGTGCTATGAGGGGAACCACGCCGGAAAATCTGGATGAACTTTCTCGGCCAATGCGGGGATCAAACACCCGACCTCCAGGTTAGCGAGTCAGTGTCTTACCCACTTAGCCACTGTGACCCCCCCCCCCCCCCCACACACACACACACTTGATTCATTACTATATATAAACTGTTTGTATGTACTACAATTGAAATCTGCTGCCAAATTAAAAGGTGTTGCAAAAAGGAATACTCTGTGGAAAAATTGACGATGGGCTTATCCTGGATTTGCTATGCTCCCTCCCCCTCCAGCAGTTTCTCTTCTCTACAAGATCCATGTCTGGACATTTTTTTTGCCTTCAAAACATGATTGAAATAGAACAAAATTATCCTTTGTTATCTGAATAAATCTGATTTTCTATTCAATGATTAAAAAAGGTCTGACACACACACACACACATACAAAAAGTTTATTCTTTCTGATCTCTGCTCAGAAGTCAATAGAGATTGCTTCAGTCATTAACTCTAGGCTTGGACATTAGTCTCCAAGAAGCTTTATTTAGTGATCTGACATTAAATAAAATATAGACGGCTGCAATACGACTAATTAATCGCTGTTTTCAATCCTACAATCAATAGAGTTCGCTTTCAGGTATAAATCATGGTCCCTCCTGTCACAATAAAAAGAAAACGAAATTCATTTGCAATAAGTACATCCCACTGAGACTAGTGATTACAGACACGTTACATTGCACAATGAAAGATTTGACAAACAAACTAAATAATGTTGTAGTTGTGTGTGTGCGAGAGAGAGAGAGAGAGAGAGAGAGAGAGAGAGAGAGAGGTTCAACATCCACTCGACACAGACTAGGTCATTTCGAGACTACCATATGGTTCAATTTTATTTCAATGAATCGCTTGTGTGTAAGGGTCTTTATTAGTAGGAGGAAAACCCAAAAGTTTGGACAGGCAACCCTACTCCATGTCACATACAACTGGGGAATCGAAACCACGTCAGTTGACTCAATGACAGACCTTATGATACAATGCGCACATGCTGACCATTTGGATGTTAAACCCCATTTCTCTCTCTGTCTCTCTTTCTCTCTCTGTCTCTTTTTCTCTCTCTCTCTCTCTCTTTCTCTCTCTCTCTCCGTTGTGATGCTCAGTCGTCCTTCAATATCCAAATAGTTGTTAAGAATACTTTCATGCAGTGATGTAAAATAACTACTTACTTGATGAAAACCTAAATACTGTTCAACAGTACGTGAAGCAAAAAACACCTCACCATCACATGACACAACAAATAAAAAACCATATAATGCCTGTAACAAAAACATAAACAAATTGAATAACCAATATTTTTTTTCACACAGAAAGTCAACAATATCTAAAATTACACCATATATACATCATTTCAATAATTCAAATTTTAATTTGTATTACAACTTTTTCACAAAATTATAGATAATAAAAAATGAAATGAAATGGGGTTTAACGTCCTATTGTTCTGCCCCGACTGGGCTAAGGAAGATGGGCATATGTCATACAGTGTGCTATGAGGGACTATGGCCTCCTCTTATATGGAATTCCAACTGCCAAGAGATCTTTTATGTGCACGCCAATGTATACACAGGTCCTCGGTTTTTTGTCTCATCCGAATAACTAACCAGCTGTCCTTGTCGACCCTCCATCCTGCACCACTGACACGGGGAAAACACGCCGGAAAATCCTGATGAACTTTCTCGGCGATTGCAAGGATCAAACAACCGACCTCCAGGCATGCGAGCCAACGTCTTACTCACTTAGCCACCGTGCCTCCCTATCGATAACAAAAGACTTACCTGTAGAATACTCTCTCCCTCGGAAAATCCGGGTTCAGTAAAAAGATGAGATCGACCTAAAAGATGATTTTCGATTCCATATCTAGATGGTAAAACTGCTGGAAATAAAAAAAAAACCAGATTCAACTGTATGTTATCTTTTTGAATATGTTTCATCTCTTTGATTTTTAGACACTGGCTTCCAATGTGCTATTACTTTCAATTGGTCTCTAAACAGTGTATTAATGATGTTTATTAAACAGCTATGTGATCATATCATGCGATTGTTTAATTCTATAATGGTTGATATCATCTAAATACACTGTATAAAATAAATTACCAATACTGCTCAATTCTAAAACACATGTACATACAGATATTGTGAGAACCATCATGTGTTTATATATTGTGAGAACCACCATACATTGTGTTCATATGTTTTGAGAATCATCATACAATGTATTGATATATTTTGAAAACCATCCTACAATGTGAGCATCACCTTCTGTGTGTTTATATAAATGTGAGCCTAATCATACAGAGAGAGAGAGAGAGAGAGAGAGAGAGAGAGAGAGAGAGAGGGTTTAACATCCACTCGACACAACTAGGTCATTTCAGGCTTAACACATGGTTCAATTTTATTTCAATAATTCGCTTGCATGTTGGGGACTTTATAGCAGTGGGAGCAAACCGGGGGACCTGGAGAAAACCCACATGGTTGAACAGGCAACCCTACCCCTTGTCACGTACAAACGGGGAATCAAAACCAGTTGACTCAATGACAGACCTTATGATACAATGCGCATGCACTAGCCATTCTGCCATTGTGTCGAGTGGACATTAAACCCTTATTTCACACTCGCTCTCATTTGATATTATGTTTACATGACATGAGATCCACCAATCAATGTGCTCATATCATCTGAGAACCACTATCCAATGTGTTCTTATAACGTGAGCATAATCAAGCAATGTGTTCATAGTATGTGAGAAATATTTTAATTATCAATGGTCTTAAATTATTGGTGCTCACATTATCAGAAACAATGACCTAGCCCTGAACCCCAGATGAATACAATATTTGAATTCATTAATAAAATTGTTATTTCATCATTCATGATTCAACCATATGTCATATAAACCAGGATAGTCAAAGAACACTTTCTTTAATCAACCTTTTATTGCAATGTATTGTAAATGTATTCTTTCTTTACTGCTATTTAGATTCAGTAATTTACAAAATTTGGATTCATTAATAAAATTGTTATTTCATCATTCATGATTCAACCATATGTCATATAAACCAGGATAGTCAAAGAACACTTTCTTTAATCAACCTTTTATTGTAATGTATTGTAAATGTATTCTTTCTTTACTGCTATTTAGATTCAGTAATTTACAAAATTTGGATTCATTAATAAAATTGTTATTTCATCATTCATGATTCAACCATATGTCACATAAACCGGGGTTGGTCAAAGAACACTTACTTTAATCAACCTTTTATTGTAATGTATTGTAAATGTATTCTTTCTTTACTGCTATTTAGATTCGGTAATTTACAAAATTCAATTCATCAACTTAGATTCAAAATTTGGGTTCATTAATAAAATTATATTATCACCATTCATGATTCAATTATTTTCTGTGTAATTGTAGTGTTCTTCCTATATTCTACTTGTATATATAATGTATATGTTTTGTAGTTTGGGAGTGACTTCCCAAACTTCCCACTTTTGAATTTATCCTGCTATTACATGTATACTGGTATATGTCTTTGTAGCTTAGGAGGGACTTATGGAAGATTAGTTTTTTTGCAAACTAAATAAGTTGTCTCATTAAATAAAGTTTTTATTATTATTATTATAATTCAATCATATGTCACATGACCCTGGGTAGTAGAAGAACACCTTTTTAAAATCAACATTATATTGTCTGCCATTGTATGTCATTGAGTCAACTCCCCAGTTGTACGTGAAAAGGAGTATAGGGTCGCCTGTCCAACCTAATGGGTTTTCTCCGGGTTCTCTGGTTTCCACCAACTGCTAAAGACCCCTACGCACAATCGAATTATGGAAATAAAATTGAACCATATGTTAGTCCCGAAATGACCTAGTTTGTGTCGAGTGGACGTTAAACCCCATCTCTCTCTCTTTTTGATAATGTAAATGTACTCCTTCTTTACTATTATTTATATTTAGTAAAATAAAACAATGGATGCCAACATGGAGATTCTATTTTAGGTTTTACTAAACAGTAATTTACTAGAAGGACGTGATTTATTGAGTAAAGAAAGAGTCTAGTGTGGAACGTGTGGAACTATAGAACATAATTAAATACAAAGCTCTAGACACAAACTTAAAACAAAAGACATTTTCAGGAATAATTAAAGGAAATATATTGTCAAGGTTCTAGCTCTGAAAATGATGGAATGGTATGGGTTGGTGTCAAACAAGAACGCCGTTTGGTTGAATCTAATCAACCGAAGTGAAATTTTATACTCTCTAGTTATTAATTACATGAAATCTAAACAGCTATTACCTTTCAACAGAACTAAATGTCTGGGTAATTAGACTGTGCCAGTTAATAGAGTTTTATCTCCCATCTTGGTGGTAGTCAGCTTTTATTTATTCAATGAATTCAATGAATTCAATGAACATTACTTAACATAATGGTAATAGTCTTTATTAACAATGGCATTATTTTAAAGGATTTCAACAAGTTTGTTTTACTTTGTTTTAATATACAGTAATAGTTCAAATATAATACCATCACCATTCATCTAAAAGTTGGTTTTGCTATAATATATAGTAATAGCGAATATATTATACCATACAAACATAAAAAGTATTGAAAATAAAATGAAATGGGGTTTCACATTCTACTGCTGTGCTCCGACTGGGTCAATGATGATGTTAGTGTTTTATGAAGGAAATTTTGCCTGGGCAGCAGCACTATGGCCTCCTCTTATATCGAATTCCAAGTGCCAAGAAATCTTTTACGCATACGCCATACAGTGTGCTATGAGAGAAATTTTGCCTGGGCAGCGGCACTATGGCCTCCTCTTATTCCAAGTGCCAAGAGATCTTTTACGTGCACGCCAATGTGTACATGGGTCCTCAGTTTTTCTTTCCATCCAAATAGCTAGACAGGCCTTTCGTCCTGCACCACTGATAAGGGGAAACCACGCCATAAAAATCCTGATGAACTTTCTCGACATGCAGAGATCGAAAGACCCAACCTCCAGACTAGCGAGCCAGCATCTTACCCACTTAGTCACCATGGCTCCCCATTCAAAGTATCCTTTAAATGTCAAAATTATCATTTGTATTATTCCTATGGTTGATTTTAATGGTGATGAAAAGATACATAATTTGATACCAACAAAATAATATATAATTATCATTGTACTATGCAAAATATACAGTTTTAGATTATTGATGCCTCTTTGGAATTTTTTTTTTTAAGATTCATTGAAGATTACTAATCAGACTTCGTGTTTACAGACCTTTTTGTCTTTCCATACTAAGTTTTTTTAAAAATATTCTTTGAGTTACATAACCCTGTTAAAGCAAATCTTATGATGATTTCCAAAAAGGCTTAATATTTTCATTTGAAATATCAGAAATTGAGTTACTTAATATTTTTATACATTTTTATTGTTTGAGTTACACATAAATTCCATTTTTTTTAATCAATGCCCTGTGAAATCTTGGACTGCTCATTTATGTCATATGCAAATCATCCATTAATACATAAAAATATATGGCTCATAAAAAAGGAAATTAAGAGGAAAAGTAAACAGTCAATTTAAGTGAACTTTAAACTGGGCAAATATTTTTATATGATTTTTTTCTTGCTTTGATAATAAAACAATTCCATTTAATTGGGCCATAATGGAATACTTAAAAGTTTTAAGTTATTTGCACAAGAACCCTATTATAGAAAATGATCAGGCGGTGCCAAAAGAAACAATAATTTAGATCATTATCAAACATTTGTAAGATATAATTTGCATTGTTGATTAAAACGTTGTGCCAAGTTGCTCACATAAACTCATGGAGTCTGTTATTATTTAGCAAAATATGACGTTTAAATATGAGGGTGTGAGAGAGGGTATAATTTACTCACAGAGAGAGGAGCAATTTCCTAGTCATTGAACGGCCAGTGAAAGGGAATCAATTATATTATAGGGTAATAGCGGCCATGGAGAAGAGAGAGTTCCAGCATTATTTATTTGCAACTTCAGTATTTTTTTTCTCTGAAAAAAGTTTCATTATATGCAAACTTTGACATTAAATCTGATCATTATTATTTGATTTATTGATGAGGCTACAAATGGACGCAGTGCATATTAATGATGGTAAAGATATTTGGGGTATTTTTTTCATTTTATAGTTTATTAATCCAGGTTGTATTTATTTCAAATGAGTCAATATTTTTTAAAGTATGCTATTCAAACTAACTAGAATTACATACCTGTAAAAATAAAATATAGTCCGGTCAGTTAATGGTTTTTTTTATATAATGAACCAACTTATTTCATCTTTTCTGACCTTACAGAAATGGTGTACTGTATGTTTTTCACCTATTTGTTGATAGCCTTAAAGATATTTCTGAAGCTGGTTTTAGCTTTAATGGGAGTGCCATATTTTATTATAATATAATGGACTTTTTGCCGCTTTATTTAAAGAAACTTCAAGAGGTAACTGTTGAGATGAACCTATGAATATGAGGGAATTATAAAACTTGGATGACCCTTTGTTTAATAGAAAAACGTTAAAATCAAAAGAAAAAAAAACAGAAAAGAAAGTAGAAATTACACAAAGCTGAACAATTCACATAGGCGTAGGAGCTGATGGGATGATGAGCCTGTAGCCCCCCCCCCCCTCAATTCGGGCGATATATTTCTATTTTTTAGGCACAAACATCAGAAAATGAGACCATTTCATTTGTAAGATTCGGGCAATGTATTTCTATTTTTTGGGGTACAAACATCAGAGAATGAGACCATTTCAATTGTAAAATGAAATCGGTTGCGGTTTAAATTTTGAATACTTTAATAAAGATACAGTATGTGAGATTCAATATTGAGTTGGCAGTTCTCACTATAATAGTT